TTTTTTTCCATAAATATGGACGTGCCAATTAGGAACAAGAGATAACACCTTAAAACACATTGTCGGTGGTAAACATGTCATCACCTTCAGCATCCAGCCCCATCTACAAGTGGTCTAAATAGAGTTATTTCAAAAATTTAAATCTAGCATTAGCACCTCTAGTGTCAGCTACCTCATTTGCAGTCCCCTAATATGTATCTAGTATCTCGCTGGCTTCCTTTCAATTAGGTCTTGTGTGGTTCAGTCATTTTCCTCTAATGTGAAGATGCAAGATGCATGTGACGTCATTCAGGGTGATGGTTATCTTGCCAATAGAAAGGTGGGAAGATGACGTCTCTGAATGCCATCTCTTTGTAAATGTCGTCTGCATGCCATGGTTTATGGTAATGTATGTGAAAACATATAAACCAGAAAGACCAGAATAGAGGATAACATTCTTGAACCAATCAACGTCGGGTTGTTCCAAATCTAATATCTTTCTTATATGGTTTACGGATTTTAAACATGGACGCTCTTGTAAAAAAAAAAATCACCGTCAATCACGATTAAATTAATTTAAAACATATGTAATGCAAAGTTAAATAAATATACATCTTCTTCCCAGACATGTGTAGGAACATGGTCTCCATATAAATGAAGTAAGGAGGTGTCAAGTGGGCCACCTGGAAACTATCTACAGGGGCATCAGCAACAGATTCCTCCTGAGCTTCAAGGGCTTCATAAGCATGGGACACATGGCCCCATGAAGTAGATGCTTGAGACAGACAACCACAAGAAGTAGAAATTGATGGTTGTGAACTTCGACCTTGTGAACCATCAAACGATGTATCATTGAATTGTAGCCTCGTGGCCCTGTCTAGGGGTGTGCAAAAAAATCGGTTATTCTTAACCAAATTGGTATCCAAATTGTTCCACTTTTAAAAATTTAAACCAAATGATAAAATATAAATGTAGGTATCCATTTTGTTATCCAAATATAAATTGATATCCATAATAATAATGTGGTTTAGTTATTGGATACTCAAATTTTTTTATGTGTTAAATTTATAGGTTTGTCTTTTTTTAGCTTTCATCGTCCCTCTTGCCTACTAGCTATTGGAGTGTTAGCCTTTTTAAGTTGAGTCGTATAATTTGTTGGACTGTTTTAGTTTTTATTTATTTATTTTAGAATAATTTTTATTTCAAAATTTTTGTTTTTATTGTTTGGGAGCATATTTTCTCCCATGAAAATCCATCCGTGAAATCCTGACTTTGGAAAGAGATTAATAAAATATATAAAAAATGAGATTGTTGTGTTCCAATGGATGAGATCAACACCAGATGAAAAATCAGTGATAAGTACAATGGAGAGAATCTATCTCTAATTTTTTAGGGTTTTTTTTGGAATTTTTTTGTCTAAAATAAAATTGTTTTCTATTTTTCATTTTTTAATTTTGAAAGAAAAAATATTTTAAAACCTCATAAAATTTGTTTAAATATTTAAATTTAAAATTTGATATTAATTTAATAGAAATAAAATTTAAATTTAATTAGATTATTTGGATTAAAATCAAAACTCATTTAGAATCAATTTTAAACCGGTTCGGAACCAGTTATGAATTTCAAAAGTGGTTTGGTTTATAGACCATAACCATAAAAATGGGTTGGTTCATATTAAATGGTTATCCATGCACACCCCTAGCCCTGTCCATAGTCCTTTCACATCGAACACGCGCGTGTTGGGTCGCACGGCCGAGTCTAATTTTGTCAGGGTTGTTTTCAGTTGCACTGGTAATAAAACTAGAAAATCACATGAAAAAATGAACCAGAATGCAGCTAGACAAAAATCTGATGATACATCTCCCAAAATAGCACACAGTAAATATGGAAATGCATCATCAGATGAACTCTTGATTTTTAGCAATGGAAAAACCTCATTGCTTCCCTAACCTCAAACCAAATGGCAATACGTGTTTATATCAGCTACCTATTTCGATTGTACTACTATCTAATGTAGCTTAAACAACCAATGTTACCTAAAACATCATTCAAAACACACACAAAAAACGAAATGATAAACTTACCAGAATAGACTTGTGATTGAGAACTTTGAATGGAGTAACTTTGCAGCAAATGAAGTAGAATTGAGTGAGTGAACTTGATGAAACTTGCTCAAATAGGGTTTAGAAATGATTTGCATCAAAAGAGTTCAAATGGAATTTTTTGAGTGAGTATTCAGAAAATGAAGGAGGAATATGGAAGGGTCTGGCACAGATTAATGTATAAAACATGTACGGAGATGCATCTCCGTAACACCCACTGAATTTTAAATTAATGATGTATTTTAAATTTCCGGTAGTTTATTTTAAATTTTCGGTATAGCGGAATTTATGAAATTTCCGTGAAGTTACAAATAATACAGAAAATTCTAAAATTACCATTTTATACCAAAAATTTTAACCAAAGTAAAATTTTCGATAATATTATTTAATTTGAAATTTTAAACACTCAGGATTTTTCAACAATTTTGGATGGCTTTGATTGCACTGACAGTGTTGTGTGGTCCAAAGTAAATGCAAAGTTGTATAAAATAAGGGGGTCACCTGTTGTTTGACAAAAAACATCTCAATGTCTCTACCTTAATTTTTTATTAAGGCAAAAATGTACTTCAACGAAGTTTCACCTTCCATAGAGTTTTGGTTTCTGGATGACACCACATCTCTTGCCGCCTTGACGTCCAAGTTGAATGAATTGTTGCCTGATACCAAAAACAGAAAGGTTAAAAAGATCGAGTTTTATAAAAATTGGATTGATACTGACAGAAGGGTGAAACACAACCTTATTAAGTTGAATACCGATGAAGATGTGAAGGAAATAGGGAGATCATTTTGTTGTAGGTTAACAAATAGACCGATCGAGTTAGATGCTAAAATTTCAAGATTTGTAACAAAGGGGTCGTAACAATTAAATAAGAGATCAACAATAAATAATAATTTCAAGTATACATATAATATACTCAAATAACCAGCAAGATATAAGGTCTCAAATATTATCACCACTCCAATTGTTGTATACAAGATGGTCAACGCAACACACCCCCAAGTCCAACTGGTAACGTTGAGGCTACATAACAGTCACACATATCGGGCGTCGATATAAACATCTAACTTGTCTGCAAAGTGAGTACATGCTATTAGATGTAGCATGTACACCTTAGCGGCAACAACTCGGAGCCGCAACAAGCTCGTTGTACCTTTCCCGAAGCCAAGACATACGAAGGTGAGCGCCTCCATCGAAGGCAAACTCCTTCATCACAACCTCCTCAAAAACTCTCAAATCTCGTGCAGCAGTCAGACATGCAAGCGACAGGCTAATAACAGGAGTCATCCAAAATTTGTCGCGGATGGGGAGATGGAACAACGAGGAGACATCATCTAGAGTGATAGTCATATCCTCAAATGGAAGATGAAATGAAGATGTCTCATTGTGCCATCTCTCAACAAAAATTGTAAGTTGTGGAACGTCGAACATGGTGAGGGAGAAGTGGGCAAAATCAAAGAGTTCGAACTCACGTACAATACGTATAACCTTCTCGGGAATCAGAGTCTTTGGGAAGTCCTTCAACTTTGACCCGTGTGATGTCACCTTCAGTGGGAGACGATCCTATAACAAACAAAATTTTAAAAATTAGTTGTTAGCTTTCATGGAACAATAATAAATAAATTAAAGTTTAAAATAAAAGATATATACCTCTTCCTACCATAGTCGGTACGCCACGTGGTCAGTATACTCAGTAAGCACTGACTGGTCAATGGGTCCTCCAAGGAATCCTCCATTAGTGTGCACAGATGGCTCGGCCAAAGGAGCTGTAACCTTTGTGTCAGCAGTAGCAGATGGGATCAGATCAACAAGAGTGGCATCTGGCTGGACCACTTCATCTACAACAACAACATCTGACTGGACCACCTCATCAGCAACTTCAGCAGCAATGTGTCTCATTTGTCTCGACCACTGGGTCATGAACATCCTGAACAGCATTAGCATCAACTTTAGGCTACTTAATTGATCTAACTATTCATTGTCAGGTGCTACGGAGTGTGCGGAACTGCCTATACTCAGCCAATCATTTCCAGTATGAATCGTTGAAACCACTCGTCTAGTCCGTATATGGAAAGATTCAGCCTCAGCAACCCTAACGCCTGATTTGTCGCTCTATCTGACGCTCTGTTTGCAATAGTGTCGTACCTGCCCCTATATTTCACTGCAAAAGACAGGAAAAAACGATTAGTAACTATCGGAAATTTCACTAAATTAAAATTTTTTCTAATTTTCCCAAAAATTTTGAAAATTTCCGGTAAAAACAAAGTTCTTATAACTATATGAAATTTCCGAAAATTTGCAGGTGATTATGTACCACAAATTTTAAATTTTCCAATGAAAATGTTTTCATTATTATAAAAAAAAAAAATTGAAATTTCCAATACAAAATCACGCAAATTTCATAATTTTTGATAAAAAAATATATCGTTTTTCAAATTTTCAATAAAAAATAAAAATTTTCAATATCGCCTCAGGGAATTCAAAGTCGGGCATATGAGAGGTGAATTTCAAAATGAGTGAAAAATTATTATAGAGATAATATTGTCTATTCATACAAAATTTGGATATATCATATTCAAATGGGGAGGTTGGCCAGCTAAATCATCCTAAAAAAGTCTCTCAATACTCATTACAAGATAACCCAAGCCTTATTCTTAATAAAAATGCATAGTTGTGCAATGTGTGCCCCTAATAGCTACTTCTACAGATCTACATATCCAACTAGATGATCATATAAATTCTCAATAACTTTCTTCAATGATGTTAAAACATTGTAACCTCCATGCCCCTCTACATTATAATAACATATGCATAGCATAATGTTAAAACAACGATTGAAACAAAAATGGTTTAACACAACATTACAATCTTTCCTATTCAAAAGCTTTGTTGAAACAACAACATAAACCAAACTTCAAATTTTACTCTACAATTTCCCCCTCCTCTTCCTCAAACTCAACCATTCCATCTCCATTATCACCATCATCATCATTACTTTCTTCGAATCTTTCAACTATTCCCTTGGCACCATCATCTTCAACAGCATCTTTTCCACCATGCAAATGTTTTTTCCCATCATAAACTTCATACCCCATTTCTTTTACCAAAACTGGTGGATATACCAGAGGCTTATCAGGATAATCTTTCAAGAACGAATTCGCCGTCATGAACCTGAAAACCTGAAACAGGTAGCTTTGATCCCTCTTTATATCTGCACTCAAGAGTTTCTGTAATAAAGTTGGCTTCTTCTTATTTTTTAAAAAATCTGTGTCAGCCAGCTTCTGCTTCTTGCTGTTCCAACGTCTTTTGTTTTGATTCCTTCTTGACTTGTTTTTGAATTTTCTTTTGTCGGTAAATGTGGTTTCCTTCTCTTCACTCTGAATGCCTTGATTTGCAGCATTCTTCAGATAGTACGAAGGTATCTCGGCAACTTCAATTCCCAACTCAGCTTGCTTTGCTAAAACCTCTTTGAGCTGCAATGACAAAAATATATGCTAAGTTCAAGATTTGCAAAACTACGCAGTGTTGTCGACTGCGAAACGCAGAAAATAGCCGTTCATTCAAACTTTGTTATGCAATAATGCTATAGCGGCTATCCGACAACATTTTGAACTAACTACCATATCGCAGAACAATAACAATTTGTTCAATAATTATACCTCTCTTTGTAAAACCTCTCTATCAATGCACTTGGAGTTTTTCGGTTGTTCACTCTGCTTCTGCAAGTAGTAATTCGGTTATTATTAATTAGACAATAACATTTTAATAAACACAAGCAGATAGAGTATATTGTTTGAAACCTTCTCAATTTTTCCTCTGGAAGGGTGATTCTTCCTCCGTGTGTCACGCCATTGTAGAATTTCTTGCTCAGAATAAATCACAGAATACGATCTAATGATTAGAAGGAAAAAAAAAATAAGAGCGTAAGAGTTATGATATTATCGGTGCAAAGATCGAACTAAAACCTGATGAGGAAATAATACATGATTACTAAAATCAGCACCACAAACGAGATTTATGTTCCATTAATTTAAGTTCGGAAACAAAATCGTGAAAGCTTATGAACTAGTGAGACATGATTCACTTCTCCCACCTACGAATTGGAACCTGTGAACCAATTACGGAACTTTTGAGAATCAGTTCTTGCCGATTCACCTTGTAACTTATAGAAGTGATGCAAATTTGATTTTGGTGGAAGATTGGTGAGAGAGAGGCAGTGATAGGAAGTAGAAGATTGGTAAAATATAATTGGAAAGTCGAGCAATGTTAAAGCTACCTTTTTGGTTGTTGCTGATGTTCCTCAGAATTTAAACCAAAAGTTCCTGCTTTCTCATTGTTGGGACCTGTTATTTTTTCACAAGCATTAGACTAACAGCAGAAATTTGTTTTCATCTCGATATGAAATAGTAGAGTTCAAACCTCTATCCTCACGATCTTTTTGAAACCCTGCTCTCATGTTTCCTTTATTGTTGTTATCACGAAATTTAGACTTCTGGAACCTACATGAATTAGACAGTGATTCCAAATCACAGGAAAACTATGTAAGTCATCAAATTGTCATTGCAATAAACCAAGAGTAATAAAAGAGAAGAAAATAATATACCCTCCTTGAGATCCCCCTCTATTCTGTTTGTTCTTGAAGTTCTTGTTTGGCGATCCTTTCCAGTTAGAGTTTGCAAAATTAGTGTTGATATTGCTATTAGGATTTTCCTGCAGCAACAATTCAGATTTGCATTAAATTAAATCCTTTTATGGTTATAGGTAGCAAATTGACAAACATGACTAATACACATTAAAGCAATGTCGTCAATAGTTGATCACAGAAAGTAGAAGTATGTTCAACTTCAAACTTTGCTACACTAGTGCTAAGGCCTTGCTATAGTCAGGATCGTCCTTGAGGGCGTGCAAGTTAGGTTACCGCACAGGGTCCAAAATTTGACATGGTTAAACTGTGACTAAATAGGGTCTCATAAAATGTTTATCATTGCTAAACCTTGGCAAAATAGGGCTATATTTGTTACATTTAAACTCTGGCAAACCTGCACAGGGTCTCCGAAAGGCCCGAAAATTTAAGACGACCCTGGCTATAGCCACTATTTCACAACACTTTGTACTAAATCATGCATCACTGAACAACTTCGGTTAGTTAAAATTCCACTACCCTACAGTGCTATAAAGCAGCTATTTGACAACATTGCAATGAAAAGACAAACACATTCAGTTTCAAAATACCTGTGAATGTGAATTCCTAAATGCAGAACTTTGGGCATTGTTTGTATTATGTGGCACAGAACTATTCCCTTGTAACGGCTGAGATGGAAAAGGACCTGATACAAAACCATTCGAGTTCCCAGCTGCCGGATTTGGGCCAATCTGTGGCCTTACTTGATTTCCAGGCACAGCACCAAACTGAGAATTTCCAGAAAACATTGGATTTTGAGGAACCATAGGACGAGGAGGCACTTGGTTAGGAGGAAACCCAAACATAGGTTGTTGTTGACCAGGATGCATACCATATGGAACAGGTTGAGAAGGGTTTTGTCTCTGCATTTGCATAGGTAACTGTTGTTGATTCATATTCTGCATTGGATATGGTGCAGAAAATTGACCAGCATTTGGCATACTCATATTCATGTTCATATTAGGTTGCTGAAGCAAATTCACAATATTCTGAGCTAAAATTTGTCCTTGAATTTGAGACAAATTCATTTGAGGTGGTTGTCCTTGTCCTTGTCCATGAACAGGAAACATTGGATTGAAAGTTCCATTATTTTGAGGACCAAAACCAAAACCACCCATATGAGGCATGTGTAACTGATTTGGGGGATTCATAAAAGGGGGTCGTGGTTGTTGCATGTTTGGCATAAAGGGTTGTTGCATCAAGTTTTGATTTTGATAATTTCCAGCAACACCCATTTGGGGGTGGTGGTTGTTTGGAGGGTTTGGGAAGTTGGGTGGAGGTTTAGGGTTAGAGGGGGTGTTGTGATTATTGGACATGGTGTTGTGATTTTTGGTTTGTTTTGAATTTGAAAGAGTGTGTGTGGATTCTAGAAGTTATTAATAAGAGAGTTAAGAACTCACAGAAGTTTGAAAGGTGGTGGTGAACCGTGTCGGAAGGTGGTTGTTGCGGCGGGAATGGTTGAGCGGCAAAGTGGAAGAAGAAGCTGCTATGGACTGTGTTAGGGCTTTACGTGTTGTGTGGATGGTTCTAATGGTAGAGATTTTTTTTTTATATTAATTAAAACTTTAACATAATTATAATAAATTTATGGATTTAATTGTTATGTACTTATAAAATTTATACTATTATTTAATAAAAATATATCATTTTATCATGCCATAATTATTTGATACGATAATTTTAAAATAAATAATAATTATATAAACACAATTGTATTAAAATATTAAAAAAAAAAAAAAAATTTTGCTCAGAGCTCTACTAGGGTTTAGCCATGGGCAAGAGGGGCGTCAGCCGGCCGAAGAAACAGGCGAAGATGAACCGAAAACAAGCAGAACGAACAATAGTCACAAAAGCAGTGGTAGAATCAATACAAGAAGAAGGAGAGAGTAGCAAAGAGGATGAAAAAGAAGAACCCTCGTCTGAAGAGGTGTATCAGCCGACTCAGAGCTGGAGTGAAATATAGCAGACAAATGAAGATACACAGTTGGAAGTACTCGGAAAGAAAGAAGAAGTTCAACCCAAACCATGGGTAGATGTTATACAAGGTAACTGCAGCTTAAATCGTGGAATGACAGTAGGTTTTGTAGCACCTAAGATAGTTAATGGAGACCTAGAGATAAAAAAAATCGAACAAGAAGATGTTACAGAAGAGCTGGAATTCTGGGAAAATGCGATTATCTTATTTGCGTTGGGTGAATCATTGCCAATGAATGCTGCGAAGAAATTTATGGAGAAGACGTGGAATTTTGTTGTGTTCCCTGACCTCTACTATAATGAATAAGGCTACTTCATAGTTATATTCAAGAGTAAGGAGGACAACGAAAATGTTATGGCGCAGGGACCCTATTTCATATTTGGCAAACCATTGTTCATTAGGCAATGGACGACAGATTTTGAATTGAAAGGAGATTTATTGCGAGTCCTACCGCTATGGATAACCCTACCTAACCCTCCCATTACATCTTTGGGGTGAAAGAAGTATTTCCTAGATCACGAGTGCCATTGAAAAACCAATTACTACTAATGAGTGCACAACCAAAAAGTTGTGAATCTCATATGCCCGTGTTTTGGTTGAAGTTGACATCACACAAAAGCCAAGAGAATCAGTATGGATAAAAGACCATAATGGGAAGATGATGGAACATAAGATAGAATATGAATGGAGGCCACAATATTGTCACTTATGTTTAAGAATAGGACATGATTGTGAGCTAAAGAAACAAAATGCGAAGAAAGCTCCCACAAAGGTATGGAAACCAATGGCAAAATAACCCAATAAGGAGGAAAAGCATGAGGAAGTGCAAACAAAACCATTGGTGGATCATGAGACCAACAAAAAGGAAATTGAAAATGAAACAAATGGGAAGGCACAAGTTGAAGATTGAACTGTTGTTACTTCTGGTAGGGTGGGCAAAGGGAAAAAGACTTTCCATACTCCTGAGAGCTCTTTCATGATGTATCAGAACACATTCACACCCCTAAGGATTGGAGAAATTCCGGTAGGGGAATCAAGCCATCATTAATGATTGTTACATGGAACGTGAAAGGAATAAACTAGGGGTGGCAAAATGGATGGATTTGATGGATTGGATTGGATTGTTAATGAATGGATTAAAACAATCCATTAGTCCATTAACAATCCACTAAAATTTTCTTAAAGTTATCCAATCCAATTCATCAATTACGAATAAAATTCATCCAATCCATCCATTAACATATTTTTAATGGATGGATATTCATCCATCCAACTTTTTTATTTTATTTTGTAAGAATAAATAATTTTTTTTTTTTGAAAAATTCATTTTTTGAATTTAAAAAAAAAATAATGAAGTCGGTTTTTTGTATTTTAAAAAAATCGATCTTTTTTTCGGGAAATTTTTTTTTATTAAAAAAAAATTGTTTTTTTCTTTAAAAAAAACATTTTTTTTAAAAATCAACTTTTTTTCGAAAAACAAATCAGTTTTTTATTTTGGAAAAAAAATCGATTTTTCACACAAAAATAAAAACCGATTTTTTTTCAAAAAAAAAACAGATTTTTTTTTCAGAAAAAAATGAATTCTTTTTAAAAAAAATCTTTTTTTTTCAGAAAAAAAAAATCGATCTTTTTTTTTGAAAAAACTATAATTTTTTTTTTGAAAAAATTACAATTTTTTTATTGAAAAAAAAACAATTTTTTTCTTTTAAAAAATTTATTTTTAATTAGACGGATTTTTTTTTTCAAAAAAAAAAAACAGACTTGTTTTCAGAAAAAAAAACAATTTTTTCGGAAAAAAATGAATTCTTTTTTTAAAAAAATCGATCTTTTTTTTTAAATTACAATTTTTTTATTGAAAAAATAATAATTTTTTTCTTTTAAAAAATTTATTTTTAATTAGATTTTAAAAAATCTATTTTTAATTATTTAAAAAAAAATAATATAACAAAAATAAAAATAATCCATTAGATTCTTAAAATATGTTGGATGGATTGAATCCATCCATGCATATAAATGGATGGATTTAATCCAATCCATTAACTTATTTTTTATGTCTTGGATGAATTGGATGGATTTTTTGATGGATGGGTTTGATGGATTTTGTCTTAATGGATCTTATTGCCACCTCTAGAATAAACAAAGAAACAAGATATAGGGAGGTGAGTACTTGTATTACTGATTTTAATGTACCTGTGGTTGCTTTGTTGGAAACTAGAGTCAAAAGAAATAAAGTTGACAGAATTAGAAATAAATTGGGAAATAATTGGCAATATGTTGATAACTATGATTGCCATGATAATGGGAGAATCTGGCTGATGTGGAAACAGAATGAAATTGTTGTCAAAATTCTACAGACTCGCGAACAATTCCATCATGCTGAGATTCAGGGGATTGATAAGAGCCTCCATTATCTGATCACAACTATATATGTTTTTAATCAATTTGAGAAGAGGAAAAGTCTTTGAAAAGAAATTGAGAAAATTGAAATCAATTTAACCAAACTGTGGATAGTGATTGGTGATTATAATAATGTGCTAACAAGTTATGACAGGGTAGGAGGCAACACATTGAAGGAAGCTGAATTCAGAGACTTAGAGGACATGATGCAAAATGTTGGTCTTTTTGAAGCTGATACTAAAGGTTGCCATGTTACCTGGTATAATAAACATGTGAGTGGTATGATCTATTATAGAATAGATAGAATGATTAGTAATACATAGTGGTGCCAAAAGTATCAGAAAGATGTTATTGAGATTCTTCCTCCTAGTATTTCTGACCACTCCCCTCTGAGAATTAATATGCAGGTGCAGAAGAGGAAAAAGAAAAACTTATTCAAATTCCTTAATTGTATGACTCGGGACCCCTTTTATATAGATAATATCTAAACTCAAAAGGCTTCAACTTATCCTTAAGGTCATGAACAAACAATATTATGATATCCAAATGCAAATTCAACTTGCTAATCTCCTCAAAGCTCAGGAAAAGCTCCAACAGAATTTATTTGACTCTCAAGCAGTGGAATTGGTTAAGCAATGTATAGACAAATTGATCAGTTTGAATCAAAGGGAAAAAATTATTTTAATGTAGAAGGCCAAAGTAACTTGGCTTAAATTAGGGGACAACAACAACTCATACTTCCATGCCTCAGTGACGGAGAAAACCAAGCAGACTGGTCTATATACTATGACAGTTCTAAATGGAGAATTCACCAGCAATCATGAGGCTATTGAAAAAGAAATCTTAGATTACTACACCAAGTTAATTGAAACTGTCGCACCCTAATTTTTGACCTTAAGATCCCACCTTCTCTGTCTTTTTTACGTGTTTTCTTTTTACTTTCGTACGTATTTATCATGACTAACCAGTGTGTGCAGGTACACGAATTTCAAAGGGAGATGATACTTATTCTTACAGACAAGCATATTAAGGCTATTCGGAGAGCATGAATTTGAGGACGGATTGGATGGATTTTATGACCATATCTCACATTAAAGTCATGACCAGGGTATTTTGGTTCAGGCCATGGTAATTAAGGCTTGGCTGCAAGGTTATGTTGGTTTTGGGCTTATTATTCTTCGAATAAGCTTGGCCATCATTGGGAGTTTCATGGTTCTCGTCAGAAGCATTTAAAATCAAGATTCACAAATTGTTGGCTCAATAACATGATCATATGACACATCCACCATCAAAATGTACAAGTTATGAATTCAAAATCACAAGTGGAAGGTTCTCATTTTAAGGCTAATCTTAAATTGAGAGATTCATTACAAGCTAAGTCTTCTCCAATTCAGATTTCATATTGCATTGAAGGAAATTAAACGTCAAAGCTTGAATCCTTCATTATCCAGGATACCCTACTCAGCACTGGCATTGGCATATCATTAAGAGTGTCACATGTTATTGGAATAAATTTGTATTGATTCAATTAAGGACAAAATTGTAGAACTACTGCAATTAATTGAGAAAAGAGACAATTTATATCATAACTTTGATTACCAAACTATCACTACAGTATCCGTATCAAAACTCACGCGGAAAATGGTATTCAAAGTTGTTCAATTTGGGTTCACAAGACAAATCAATCCAAAACGTTGCAAAGTTCACAATAATGGCAAAACTCCATAACATTTCACAATACTAGTGAAAACTAATCCAAACAAAAATCAAGTGCACAAGTTCAAAGATGGAACATTAGATGTCATTACGAATTTACGAGGGCTACCATTCTTTTCAAAGATAATAATAATAATAAATACAAAGGTTGTGTCGTGGGTCCCCTACATTTAAGCCATTTTGTACTTGTAGTTTGCCTAACTTGGAAGCGTTCCCCTCCACAAAAGTAAGAAGGTTGCGGCACTTGATTCCTTGAATTGTTTGTTATCCGTTCAAAAGTTCAGAAAAACAACCTGCCAAAAAGAAACCAATGGAAGAAATTAGAGTTACAACGGTAGTAATTCTTCACAGCTCCCAACAGGTCGCCCTTTAGTGAGCAACCCAGATGGAATTGAAAATAACACAGGTGTTTGAACTGATCAATGAAAGCAATCAGAAACAAGCTTTACCAAAATTTCACTCCATTTTCAAGGATTACAAAGAAAAGCGGTGTTAACGTTCGATACACAAGATAGTTTAAGGAATCCGGGCCTAAAGCTAGGATAATAATAAACGACAGTAATGTTCTTCCCTACCATTGGAACAATTGAGAAACTGAAGTTGTTACTTCAACTCGGGAGTACCACATATCGCCATCAGCTGTCGTTAAACCAGCAACTTTGGAAGAACAGACATCAATCGCTTGTTTTGCTCCCTTTCAGGTTAAAATCTTTAGCAGCAGCAGTCATTTCAGGGCGTCAATAACAACAACCTCAGTACAACAGCAGCACTGCAACTTACGCCCCATCGTCAGAATCTACAACTTGATTGAATATAGTCAAGCAAGAAGCTTTTAACCGCCAATCCTACAACACACCCAAAGCATCGAAAACAAGAACAAAATTTCGGACAACCGTCAGCATGAACGTCATGAGACACCAAAAATATTCAAAGGCAGCAGAAATTTCAAGCTCTCTTGGTTCAGACTTTAACATCATCGTCACCGGATACAAAGTCTTTCTCGATGGCATAAAACCGACAATATCTGAAGTTACATCCATTTCCTGAAAGAAGAAGAAGGATGTTATTATGGTTCAAGAATAAATCCGAAATAACCATTCCACAACAGCAAGATGAAACAGGGTAACCAAAAATAACTAACAGTGTGATCAATCTCCTTCCGAAACCACCATTAACGCCTGCAAGTGAAGGAA